CTCCCATCCCTTGCATCACCGCCTGAGCTCCACCTCCTGTCAGATCAGCAGCACCGTTAGATTCTCTTAGGAGTGTGAACCCTACTGTAAACCACATGTGAGGGATATAGGTGGTGCACACCTTATAAGAATTTGTTCAAATCCATCCTCCACAAGCCCCCATCCATGGAAAAACTGAATTCCATAAAACCGGTCCCATCTCTGGTGCCAAAAAGGTTGGGGACTGCTGCTTAAAAAACATATAGCTCTCCTGGATTCCCTTGACTCAAAATACTTCGATTATCTGGAACATTTTCAGTTACTTCCTTAAGCTTTAAAATTGATCTTTCTTAAAATTGATTTTTTAATTTTGCCAAGTCTTCATTTTCTTTTCTCAACCCTATTTATTTTCTGAACCCATATTGCCATTCCTCCATCAACTGCCATTTGGTTAGATATACCATAGACTATAGAACCATATTCTACACGGACACCCATCCAACACCAGAAAATGATCCTAAAGTGTTACACTTGTCAGTAGATAGTCCAGGTTTGTTGTTGTTGTTGCTGTTCAATGCCTTATATTGGAAAAGACCTTAATAATTCTCAACTTTGTAATGAGTGGGAAATTTTCAATATATTCCTGCCAAATCATCTGCTTTAAACAAAGCTCTAAGAATACTTTCTTACTTTCTGTGCTGGCCTTGGGGCAAGTGGGAGTATATTCATGTGCTAGATGTCCAAGGCTACGCTACTTTCGTGGCCCCTCTTGACCCTACAGTCTCTTTCCTATTTTTATAGTCCAGGAATGACCAATAGCTAGCAGGCCTCAGACATATAGCATTATAGGCATACTTAATTTCTTTTACCCCTTCCTTTTAATTTTTCTACCCTTTATATTTGTGGTGAGACTCTCTGGGTCTTTTGCTTGTGCTGATTTTCTCATGAAGGGCACTTTTGGTTCTAACCTCTCCACTGAGCCATGATTAATCCTATTTCCAAGTGGTTTGAAATCCTCCTTGCTCATTATCTCAACCTCTCTGAGGCAGGTGTTCCTTTCTCTCAGGTAAATCCTATTCTTAATTAAAGAAATCCATCTGGGCCATTACCCTATCTCAACGACCAAACTACTCCAACACTGTTGATGTGCTCAATATATTTGCAACCTGATGAGGTTATTATGTCACCATGGGAGCAATTTATTAATGAAACACAGCTATCTAACATAGTACCTAATGGCCAAGGCGTTATTTATGAATGATGGCCTTCCAATAAATGTAATCACTAGTTATATTTAGTGGAGAAGGCTGGGATGAATAAGTCTCAAGGTAACAAGGAAGTTGTTGCCATCAACAATCATGTAATAGAGACAAATAATTTGAGTGTCCTTCCTAATTATTGTAAGGTTCTTAGAATATCTGATGTGTCTTTCATTCAGGAAATAGAAACCATCTATGTGTTATCCCAAGCAAAGAATATAAATAAACTTAAAAATCTAACCCTGACCTCAAAGAGTTTATAGTTTTTCATAGTATATTACCTGGAAAAATAACTAAAAGTTTTTAAAAAAAAAATTTAAAAAGCATAGGGGCACATGTTGTTTGAATTATTATATAAGTGAGCTGACAACAGATTTTGAGGGAAGCATACAGGCTCAGGAAGGACGTGGCTTTTATGCTGGACCTTGAAGGAGATGCAGAATTTCAGCTGGTAGAGGCTTTGTCAAGAGTGAGGTATGTGGTAGGGAGGTACTAGCATTGTCATGATACCCTGTATGATAAGCAAGACTAAGAGATCAGAAAAGGCAGAAAACAGGAAAGTGTACTTGCCAAAAAATACAAATTCCAATCTGTTGTGATACTGCTAGTAGAGTTCTCAAAAATGCAGAGTAAAGGAAAAACTACAAAAGGTGAGTGCATGTTTCTAACTCCACACTACAAAAAAATGATGCAATTCAAAAGTTAAAGGTACTAAAAACCAGATTACACCTCTGTATAGCTGTGTGAAGAGTGAATCATTGATAGCAGTGACTAATCATTACATGCATACAAAATGTACATAAAGAAATACAGCAGAAATTTCAATTAGTGCTAGCATACACTGGTGTTTATCGTTACTGCGTACCCACTAGGTGACAGGAGGTGTCCTTTGCATGTATTGTTACATTTAATCTGCACAATGATCCAGCTAGATAGGCTTTATTAACCTCATCACACATGAAGAAACTAGAGTTCAGAGAAGTTGAATAATGTGAGCTCATTGCACTCCTGCTGTGCAGTCGAGTAAGAATTTGATATCAGCTTTTCCTATCTTGAGGCCATGCTCTTTACTCCATGCCAAACTAGAATGATTTATATTTCAAAAGAAATTAAGTGGATTCAAGGATACCTCCATAGCAATGTAATACTCATGAGATGTAATATGCTTTCATGAGTGATTCAGGAATGGAGTATAAAATCTTGGGAGTATGTTGCAGCCCATGAAACCATCAGCTACATGTAGATGAGAAAAATTGGTGGACAGGAGTGAATTGTCCATAACATTGAGCTCTGAATCAGTCATTTAATATAATCAATGGCAAGAACATAGGTTTTGGAAACAGATGGCTCAAAATTCAAATTCTATATACTAGTTACATGAAAAACCTTGGACAGGTGATTTTACAACCTCTGTGTTCCCATACAGTCATTATAGTAAGTTAACAATACATTTATGTAGGAAAAAAGCACAGCAGTTTTGGATAACAGAAAAAAGTATATCAGTTAGACTAAAGAGGCTTGGCCTTATTCAGGCATTAACTTAAGCTGTATGGTTTTTGGCAAGTCACAAACTCTGACCTTCTTTTTTCTGTAAATGTGGATGGTATTATCTACCTTAGGGATATTTTGTAAGAATCTGAGATAATGTGTATTAATTATCTACCACCACAGCTAGACTATATTATAAATGAACCACATTAAATCATTAACACAATTATTTGCAGATAAGTATAGTTTCTACTTCATTTCTTTTTAAACTTGGGCTCTACTATGTCTATAACAAAATTACTACAGACTATTAAAAGATCATAACAACAATTTGGTAAGACTTGGACACCTTAGGAGTTAAAAGTATTTGTAACTTTGTATTGTTTTTAAAAGATAATCTTAATATAAATGAAAAATTTTCATTCATCTCTTACAGCTCCTAATGCACATTTTTCACAAAAAGCATTCCTTTTTAAAAACACATTTCATTAAGTGCTTAGTCAATCTGAGAAATAAGAGATTAGTATTTTTAAGAAAGGCTTTTTTGATAACTTTTTAACAAGAAAATTGTTAAATATGCTTGCTGTCTGATACAGTCATTGGTTGGTGGGCCCTATCTGTGATCAATCTATTATGAGAATCATGCAAAATATCCATCTTTGCAAAACTGTGCCTACATCTCTCTCAAAGGAAATAAACAGACTCCAAAATGGAATTTAAGTTAATCACTCCAAAGGATAGCAAATCAGGGTTACACCCCTGCCTTTACAAGCAAGTCACAAGAAATTCAAAATAGAATACAGTTGTATGAATCTAATTTGTTTTCTTTGTCCACACATCCAACACAGTGTTTATGAACCTGAGCAAGTTTTGTGAAGTTCAAATTACGTTTGGGGTTTACAAGTTTTCCACAAATTATTTAAAAAGCAAAGAGGATTTATACATGTATAAAATGAATTGGCTCTGGCGATTTTGCAGTGTTGTGCCAACAGAGAGGATCACCATCATTTCTACTCCTCCCCCACCTGGATTGGCATCTTAGTGACCTGTCCACGCTGATGCTTCATCCATGCTTTGGGAAACCAACACATACCTGTCCAAAAAATGTGACCGTTGGGTAAGGCTACCTTTTTCACACTACCGAGGTGTCGAAAAGAATTATGTGACTAAAATAGGACTGCGATTTCCTCTACCTCTTCCTCTCCCCAAAGGCTGCGTTAAATAGGGTAATTCAAGCCTCTCTCGGCCAAGCTCCGGCACTCCCACAAAGATTGATTCGTTCTTATTTTTTACTTTAAGGAGGATGGGAACCTCATAAAAATGTTTCCTAGCTGGTTTCCTGGGAGTTTAAAATGCTTAAGGAATTGGAAGCCAAGAGAAGTTTGGCCCTAACACTCTGAAACACCCGCATTAGAATGCGGGCTAGGTGGCTATTGCAAAGCTACGGACGGTGCGAGGCTTTGGAGAAACTGTTTGCAATCCGATGTACACCGGCACGCGTGGGGGTTGGGGTGGGGAGAGGGCATAATTGGCTGAGGGAGAAAAGAAAGGCTTTAGCGTCTACAGAGCACATCCTAAGGTTCCTGAGTGGCTAACTCCATCCCTAACCACCTGGTTGCTGAGAACCAGCTGGAAAAGAAAAGATGAGCGAGCCTCGGGTTTGGCATGAAGGCAGCAGCGGTCCTGGGCTCGACCGCTGGCCTAGACACCTGGCTTCTGGGGCCCGCCGACCCGGCTAAACCCCTCTTTCCCCTCTGGTCCAGCAGGTGAGCAGACTGTGCTCTCTCATTTTTTCAGAGACCTTCAAATTCTTTTTCCTCCCCCAAGTGCCAACTTCAGGGGTTCAGAGGTGGCACGGGGGTAACAGACTAGAAAGGACAGGCCCCGGGGTCTCAGGGATTTTCAAGGCAGGAAAGAACGACGATCGCCCCGGCCGCGACCGCGTTTTCTCCCCGCGTGCCCTCCCACCCCCGCCACCCGCAGGACCTGCCGCGAGCGCGGCGCTTGGCGCCAGGCTGGGGTCCCCCGCGCGGACGCCCGGGCTGGCGTGGGATGGGTGGGGTAGGGCTTGGCGGGTCCCCGAGCCGTAGAAGCGGAAGGTTCCAGGCACAGCACGCCGGGCAGAGGACCACATTCTGCCAGTCGCAGAGCGGGGAGGAGGCAGGGACGCGAGCGAGGCGGGGCGAGCCCTGGCTCCGGCGCGCCTAGCGGACCGAGCCTGGTCGCCCTCTGCGGGCTGCCCGTCTCCATCCCTGCGCGGGTCCCCGCTCTTACCTCTGGGCGCGAGGGTGCCGGCTGGAGAGGGTGCTGGGGAGCGGCGAGCTGTCTCTGGGTCGCGCTCAGCAGCGGCCAGCGACTGGGGGGTCGCCCGCGGGGCTGCCGCTCATTGCTCGTCGCGCCCGGAGCACTGCGGCCGCGGCCACAGAGGCGCCTTCCTCCTTGTCCTCTTCGCGGGCTCCCAGCCGGGACGCAGCTAACGCCCCAGCCCCGCAGCCCTCCTCCCCTCCGCCTCCCCGGCCGCGGACGGAGCCGCCTCCAGCGCCGCCCCGCGCGCAGCCGGGCCAGCGGCAGCCAGCGCCGCCCAGCGCCCGGCCCCGGGGTCGCCGCCACCGCCCGCCGAGCTGACTCGGCGGTGCCAGCCCCGCTGTGACGCAGGCCGCGGTGTCCGGGAACTTCCTCCCCTGCAGAGGCTACCCCGCGCCCCGGACCCGCCAGCGAGGGCTGCGGCCGGCCGCTGAAGGCTTTCTTCAGGGCGAGGAAGGAAATCCTCCCTCCGCTCGGCGACAGGGCCACTCCCACCTCTGAGACGCCCACCTGGAGGGCTCTGCGCTGGGAGTCCGCGGCGTCTAATGCCGCCTCCACCTTCATCCCTAACAAAGCGCGGAAAACCCGAGGCTTCTGTGCGCCCAGCGCCTGCTCGGCTGCCGCGGCTCCTCCCCTGGGTAAGTTAGAAGCGGCAGCCACCGCTAAAAATAGCCGTTTGGGGAACTCCTCCAAAGGCTGGGGCCAGAAGGAAGATAACCCCTCCACACGGGAACCGAAGCGCCTCGTAAGAACAGAAGGGCGGGGAGGGGATGGTGGGATGCGCTGACGGAGGGAGACGAGAAGGAAAAGGATGAAACCCAATATCCCTGGATCGTGAAGACCTTGCACCCCTTGACAACCAAGTGCCTCTCTGGCAGGAATCCCCGACTGCCCGACACTGCCAGACGCGCTAAGCAAGGTTCCAGGAGACTCGGTTTGAATGCTCTGCCTGCAATTTCGTGAAGTGTGTAAAGGAGTTGACAGTGCACGGCAAAACCACCTGTTGTTCAAAGAGTAGGGAGCACGGGTTTTTCTCTCATTGATTGATCTGAACCGTGCTTTTCTTCTCCCCATTCCTCCACCCAATTTCAGGATGAAAAAGCAAACTCTGATTCTTGGAAGCTGGCAACCCTCTGTATGGAACATCTGCCCAGTGAAAAAATGTACAGACAAGATTACTCAGCACCATGGTGTCTTCTGGGAATGCCTGATCAGTGCTAGCTATTCTAAGAGCACCAAAAGTTAAACTATTGCTCGGTCTTGGGAGTCTGGAAAAGACAGACAGATGTATGGGAATTACTGATAGACAACTACTTAGTAGTCATTCGCCGGTGGGTCTGTTCTTACACAGCACGCCTTCAGAAAGCAGTCACCTCCTTTCACCATGTTTCTACTTCTAAGCCAAAATGAAAAGAAAATTTGTCCAAAAGTTGTCCTCTTTGGCTTTTAACCCCTTTCCCCCTGCTCACCCAGCAAAATACTACACTTTTTCTAATTCCAGAGGTGGTTTAGGGTGTCCTTCCCAGAAGACAACCTTAACCCTTCTTAGGCCTTAGAAGATGACCCTAACACCAGCCTTAATTAACTTAGATCAAGACAAAAATTTATATTGGGGCTTTCCTCCTAGATAGCAGGTGGAAAAATTCCTAGAGAGTCTCTGGGAAAAAGGCAAAGCCTGACTTTAGCAATGTGCTAAAAAATTCAAATCTCTTGTAAGCCACCAGGTAGATGCAGAAATACTCTGAGGTAGCTTCAGCTCTTAAATACCTTACCCAGATTTAAACACTCACTGAGGAAAGTACTAAAAACACAAACCTCATGTGAAGGGCCTTGTTCTGCAATAGCTTTCTGAGTGCACTTCTGCCTTCCATCCTCCTTGTACCACTGGCATCCTGACCACAGGTTTAGGCATCTCTGTCAAGGAACCATTGAACCCTAGACTTTGGACTCAGGTGAACCAGGATTAAATCCTTGCTTATCCTGTTTACACTTAGGGAAGTTACTGCTCCATTTTATTCTCCTCCCATCATCAATACATATAGGTATAGTACTGTGAGATGCTGTGAGAATCAGAAAACATGCTTGAAGCATGTGCTAAGCACTTTATAAGTATTCGATAAATGATAGCTACTATTGTCCTTACTGTTCTTCATTGCCCTGAAAGCAAAAGAGCCAGGAACAGCAACAAAATTTGGAAACATGGTACATGTATCCCCTGCAAGTTGAGTTTCCCCCTGAGTTGCTTTATTGCAGTACTGTGCCTGCCTTCTAACAGGGTGACCTGGACAGTTCTACATGTGTAGGCAAGCGATTCATATGCACATTAAAGTTTTACAGGTACTAGTCTAAAAACCACTATGCTATACTGCTTAGTTCACTTTTTTTCTTATTTTATATAGCATTTAAACCTTAATTCTAAGTTGTCTCACCTCAGTCAATCTAACGCAAATCACCATCCACACTCTGTAAAGCACTGGGTGAATTATCAATCAAAGTCACCTTGTTTGAATGTTGGGCCCTGAGGGTCTCAAAGAAGTGTAATGCTTATTACCTGACTTCAAGGTGAGTGTTCATGGTTCATGGGAGGGGGCTCTGGTATACATGAACCAGAATAAACCACTTCGAACCAAATGTGGTTGAAGTTCAGAGAAAGACAAGGGCACTGTGAGCTAGGTAAACTGGGTATATATATACAGTCTCCATCTTGACCTTTCACTTTATACCTAATTCTTTAGGCCAAAGTCTGACATTCTAGATGGGCTTACAGAGTGTGTCCCCATACTGGGACTCCACATAGTTACAAGTTAACCACGTGCAGGTTGGCAGTAGGGAGCAGAAATAGATATTTCTGGGCAGCACAGGACCGTGGTAAGGGATTTGGAACAACACAGGTCTAGAGTCACATCTTGCTTCACTAGCTAGCTGTGTGACCCTTAGCTTCTTAATCTTTGAACTTCATTTTTCTTACACTTCAGAAAAGAGCAACTTTTTAAGGTTGTAGTTAGACTTAAGAGAGAATTCTGTAACCCCTCTAAGTAAATGGTAATTATTTCCAGGAAATGGTAATTATGTTACATTGCTGTTTTGTTGTTAGGTACAAGAAAACTCTGGCTGGGCTGTAGCATTCCTTCAAGGTGTAATTCATAAGTCACCTTCTCTGTGAAGCTGCTGGAGGTTCCAGGCAAGTGTAATTTTCCCTTCCTTGTACTCCCACAGCACTTAGATTGAACATCTATCTACTCAGCACTTAGGCATGGTATGCTCTCGTTTATCTCTTTGCATGCCTGCTTTGCTACCGAATCTGGGAACCGCTCCAGGACACAAACCATATCTTTACTCATCTCTAAGTCCATCGTCAATACCTAGCACAGGACCTGGTATTAAATGTTGAAAGAATGAGTTTTAAAATCTTTCAATTTCTTGTACTTGTTCTGACTTTCAGTGTAACTCATCTTATACTACAGGCTCTAAAACTTGAACCCTTTAGCTCATAAAGAATTTATTCTAAAATTATGCATTATGTATATGTATCTGCTTGATTTTTCAATGTTGGGATTGTTCTTTAACAGAAACCTGCTATTCTTGTTTGCTTTCTATTTGATATCAGTTGATCCTGCCTGGTAATAGTGAAAGTAAAATGTAAATTCTAAACCCAAACCACCAGCAGGATTTTACCCTGCATTCTCTATCCACCCTGTGCTGTGCACAGAGCCTTTCTGAGCTTTGTGGGGAGGAACTGAACTAACAAAAAGACATACTTGTTTTAAGTTTCAGCTGATTACACTGTTGCAAGCATTAGCACTTTCTGAATTAATATCTGCAAGATAAATGCACCCTTAGCCACAGTTTTGAAATCCTTGACTCTATGACATTAAAAATGCTAAGACAGGAAGAATAAAACCTTAAAAGAAAATGTCCTCTGAGCAGGAAGTTGCCTGAGAAGTAATATGGCCAAATGTGGTGTAGACCCTACAATGGAAGTTAAATTTGTACCAGAGGAGATGGTGGTGCTGTTGATACCCCAAATAAAGGCCTAAGAAGCAGCCTCAGAAGCAAAGTCTCTCTATGGCCTCCTCCTGCCCTCCTGTCTCTCATCCATCATCCTCACCCAAGGCAAGCCATAGAAACTAGAATATCCTCTTCCCAAGGTAAGTCATAGAAACCAGAACCCCTTTTGCCCACAGCCAGGCAGAAAGCCTAAATATATTACTCGAATCTTCTCCTTTCCTCCTGCCCCTCCCTCCACCTTTCTGGACAACAGCTGGCCATAAAGAAATTAAGACCTTCATTCCAGAGGGGTCCTACCCCATCCCCAGGAGGAAGGAATGTTGCACTGAGAGGCCAAGAAAAATCTGAGCAGACAGGTCTTGCCTAGTTTCCCCACTCAGTCTATTAGCATTAAATCACACCCTTTTTGTCCAATCGTATTTCTACATGGCTGTCCATACTTCATTGAACCTAAGTATCAAAATGGATAGTGTCCCCTGGAAGGCTCCTGTGTCACATAAAACTATGATCAAATGAATTTGTTATGCTTTTCTCTTGTTAATCTGCTTTTTTATGGGGTATCAGCCATGACCTTTGTGATAGGGAGGAAAGGGATCATCCCCTTTCTGCTCCCACAGTTCCAAGGACTTAAAACTAGTTTACTATAAAATCTTAGATAAAATTCTTCTAAAAATCAGTTTTATATATTTTACTCTCCCAAGACAGAATTGTTTGTTCCCATTAACTTGTGAAATTTTCTTTGGAAATAATGGATAAGCATTTGTGAGATACATACTGTGTACTAAGTACAGGTTGAATATCTGTTATCCAAAATGCTTGGAACCAGAAGTATTTGGATTTTGGAATATTTGCACTATACTTACTTTACCAGCTGAGCACTCCAGATCCAAAAATTCAAAATCTAGAATTCTCCAATGAGAATTTCCTTTAAGTGCCATGTCACTGCTCAAAAAATTTCAGATTTTGAAGCATTTTGGATTTTGGGTGTTCAACTTGTACTAGCTTTGTATGCATTTTCTCATTTAACCACCATAACTATCCATTATATAGGCAGTATATTTCCTCTTACTGACAGAGGAGAAAACTGAGGCCCATTATAATCAAGCAGCTAGCCAAAGGTCACATGACCAGTGAATGGAAGAGTTGGGATTTGGACCTAGGCAAGTCTAATTTCAGAGATCTCATGCTTAACCACTACTTAATCCTGTGGGAAAGGAAATTTATTTTTCAGTTGAATCATCAAGTGCAAATGTACTAAGTAAGGTTAATGATGTACTTTTTTAGTAGCTTTTGAAATTGCATTCATTTGTGCTTTTTCTAATTGCATATTTACATCCCAAATGTGCCTTCATAAGGTGGTTTTACAATTTATTCTTTAATTGAAAAGCATTTTATGACTGAAACTAAATGTCTTAACAAAAGATCATAAAGTGTCTGTGGCTCTGAGTTAAGGCAATGTGATATATACCAGACAGAGGTCTTATTTTTAGAATTATTGTTCAGATAGACCAATGATAGATAAGTAACTTTCACATGAGAAATATTGTTATACTGTGATATGATAAAAATATGTATTTTTTGGTCTTTGTCTATGGTTCTTGGCTCACAGCTCCTAAAACTCTTGTAATTTTCTAAGTGATTAGAGCTATAGGAGCATCTTTTGTTATAATACTTGGATTTTGTCTTCAGTTCCAGAGCTATAAAGGTGAAAGAAGTGGCTTTAATTACTCATAAGACACCCCTTTCAACCACACCTGGGTTTATGTTAATGACGTAAGGTTTGGAAAGCTCCTAGCCAACCACAGGATGGGGGTTGGATGCCACAGAAACTGATCATGTGATTAGAGAGTTTTAACTTTCAACCCTATCCCTGACCTTAGGGGAGGGGAGAAGGGGGTGAGGGACTGGAGACTGACTTAATTACTAGTGCTAATGATTCAATCCATCATGCTTGCGTAGTGGCTCCTCTATAAAAACCTGAAAGGATGGAGTTCAGAGAGCTTACAGGTTGGTGAACAAGAACACAACCCCTTGCTCTGAAGGTGGCATACCCTAAAACTCCTCTGCGAGGACAGAAGCTTCTGTACTCAGGACCTTTCTGGATCTTGTCCTATGCATCTCCTTCATGTGGCTCTTCATTTGTATTCTTTAATATGTCTTTTGTGATAAACCAGTAATCTGGAAAGTAAACTGTTTTCCTGAGCTTTTCTAGCAAATGATTGGTCTTGGTGGGGTGGGGACATGGGGACCTCTTATTTATAGCCAAGACAGACAAAAATAGTGAGTAACCTGGGTCCCACCACCTGTGATTGGTGGCTGAAGTTGGGGGGTGGGAGCAGTCATATGGGACTGAGCTCTTAACCTAATGGGGCTAATGCTATCTTCAGGTGGATAGTGTCAGAATTGAGTTAAATTATAGGATGCCCCATTGGTATGTGCTGGAAAATTGAATAATTTTAAGGAAAAACCCAATAGCTAGAAGTGTTGATGTGAGTAGTAGAGAGAAAACGGTTGTTTTTTCCTATGTACAAATGTAGTATAAGTTTAAAGTAAAAAATCAGTTTGACATTCTCAAGAGTGACCTTTTTTTCACCTAAATATCACTGCTATAACAACTAAGTAATAGTTGCTAGCTTTTATTTATTAAGCACCTACAGCCACTGTTCTAAGAACTTAGCATGTATTAACTCATTAATTAAATCAACAAATGATTGGTTCTATCCATGAAGTGAATTATTTGAAAATCAATGAAGTAGTCTTAAAGGGTTTAGAACTTTCTTATTTATTAAAAATACATTATAAATACCTCCTAAAGAAGGTAACTCATTTTTCCCAGGACTGAAAATCTTCAGTTGTTTCCTAATGCCATATCTTATTACGCACATACAATGTACGTTAGAACTTCTCAAATTACAGCTTAACACTGAATTGCTTCAAATTTCAGTGGCATCAGCCCTGACAAAGCACCTAATTTTAAGATCCAAGAAATTCTTTCTTTATTTTGACCAAGAAGCTGCTCTCTCTCTGAGGCGTGAAGAGCAATGGCCCAAGAAACCTTATCCAAGTAGTGAAATTGAAGATGCTCTTGTGACTCACATAAACATGATTCTCTGTTTGCAAAATTATCATGGATGGTGCTTTGTATGTTTAGAAAATACTGTAGCCGTTCCCAGATGCTCTCGCCATTAAAGCCCACACTGACACACACTGCGTTTTGTGAGCCTTTTTGGAATTTATTCTTAATTTCCCTGAATTCACACGTGTTTTTTGTCTCTCTAGGAAACAACAACAATAATAAGAAAGCCTGGCTTGCCTTTTCAGTATCAGTGATGGTGATTATTAATGATCATTTTTATTCCCGTTACTGAAAAGAGCATAAACTGGGATTAATAAGATCTGGATTCTAGTCGTGGCTCTTTCATTGACTAACTTTGTGACTTAGGACAAATCTCTTTATATTTTTGTATCCTCAGTCCCCATCTGAAAATGTAGGGGCTGGGATAGATGACTTCTTCGGGCTTATTCTGTGCTAAAGTTTTACACATAGATCTTTAAATTTTACATGTTAATCCTCCTTAGATTTCAGTCAGTGGTAGATATCATCACCAGCATTTAGTCAAAGAAGCAGCTACTAGCTGCTTATATATGGGAAATATGTCTAGAGGTAGGGCAGACCAGTCAGCCAATATCTTCCCATAGCACCTTTGTTCTCTACCACCCATCGCCAGACAGAGAGAAAGAGCCATTCTTCTAGTGAGGCATTTCTAAGCAGCTGTCTGTAGAACTCTACCCCTTGAGATACCCTGAGAAATAGAAGCCTGTGGTCAAGTTCATTTAGGAAATACTATATCCCTCTTGGAGATTCATAATGCATATTAATATGCGTAGGGTTCTGAGATGTCTTGCATAAAAATACATATTTAATTTTCCTGAACCTAGCATTTCCTTAACTTCATTGACCATGGATCTATTTCCTTTATCACACCTATCATTGCAAGAAGAACAAAATTGATCCAGATAGAATATGTTGTTATTTTAGAGTTAAAGACTGCAAAGCCTTCATAAGACTTTTCTTTTTGGAAAGAGAGGAGAATTATAGGCTCTATAACTCATTTAATGAATGTCTGTCAGGATAAGCCCTCTTGGTAGATGTTTTCTTCAACTATTTTCCTTGCAAACATCAGCCATAATAGAGTTTTTGTCATTTTTAATAGGACAAAAGCACCCATTCTCATTGGTGATAGTGTAGCCTTGTTTCTCTGCACTGAGGAATAGTTCCTTGGCTTTTACGTATTCTTGTTAGCCTCTGGTTTGCCTGGCATCCTTTTAGAGCTAGTTGAAACTGGTATAGGACAAACACATATTCTGAGCACAGAAAAGGATGACATAGAATAGCTTATTTATTGATGACTGTTATGAGACAATTCTCCATGAGGCCTCTAGTGTTTCTGTACATCTTGGGAGCCAGGCAGTCACAGCTGTTTCTTCCAGAAAGGATATTTCTATAGTGTATAGCCTTGAAAGATAGCAATAATGACTCTCTCTGCAGCAAAAGTCAGGCATGTTTACTGTCCAGTATAGTAAAGGTAATGTGTCTCTCCAGAGCAAAGACTACTTTTCATTATACATGCTTACTACATGCTTACTATTCATTATAAAAGGTTCACATTCCCTAAGGTCAGAGTTTTTCTTCTAAAATACAACCCACTGTGTGTGAATATGCTTTCTGGCCTTAGCATCTTCCTGTGGGAATCTGGAGTCTAAGAACTTATACAAAAATGCTGATACTTTGCATTTAGTTAGTGATGTGAGTGGTAAACTTTATTTTGTCTCTAATCTAGGAAGCGCATGCCTTCTACCTGCAACCAAGTGTCGTAGGCTAATATTTTAGTTTCTAAGAGTAATATAATCTCAGACCCTTCACATTTCTAATAATAAATAGAACCTATTTTACTTGAACATTGATTGCTAAAGATATCTTGATATCCTTATAATAATGTTCTCCCTCCCTGAATCATTCTTGGTCTTGTGAATATTCTCTCCTGTGAATGCTCTTCTAGGTCTTATAGTTATAGCATTTATAGTTCTCCATCCTTGTTTCTGAGGAAGAGTCAATAGAGGGCTATTAGAAGTGATGCAC